TATGTTCCCATCATTTCCATTTTCAGCCAAACTATCATGATTCTGGAGATTGTGCATTATGGTCTCAATTGATTGCTCACATAGGGCCAGTGGCGCAATGGATAACGCGTCTGACTACGGATCAGAAGATTCTAGGTTCAACTCCTGGCTGGCTCGATGTAACCTATGGTGACTCCGTCTTACCATAGGTGGTTCAATTCAAGCCTGACATTGAATCGTAACTTCAAACCACTGTTGTGGTCTTGACTGGAAGCCGCTTTTGTTTTTGTTCATGGAAATCCTTCATTCTTTCAATTTTCAAAAGAATTACTCTTTTGTTTTTGACTGTCTAGAAAAATGCAAATGAAAGCCAAATACAAAGCTGAAAGATTGCATCGTAGCCTAGAGACATTGGGTCGGGATGTGTTTCACTGACTTTTGGAAATAACCAGTAACATGATCACAAGAAGCCCACCCAGGCACATTGAACGATGCATAATATTTTGTTGTTCTGGGACGTAAAACGTTGCACCAGCAGGTCTATCCTGGCCTCGTTGGCGCAGTAGGTAGCGCGTCAGTCTCATAATCTGAAAATCGTGAGTTCGACCCTCACATGGGGCACTTCTTTTGACACTATGCTGATGTCCAGTGAGGTTATTGTAGCTTGTTATTTGTGGGTGGTAGCCTCTGACAGTTATGACCTAAACAACCTCCCCTTAATTTTACTTCATGTTGCTTTTAACTTTAAAATTGATCACAAAATCAAATAGCACAAGTCTTTACTCACTACAGAGACCATGGCTCATGATCCAGATAACTGTCAAACATAGTGCTTGTTTCAAATTAAACACATACCAAGTCTTGCGACTTATGGGACATCTTTTTGTGATGAATGGCCAAAGCTTCTCACTCTATGTTCCCATCATTTCCATTTTCAGCCAAACTATCATGATTCTGGAGATTGTGCATTGTGGTCTCAATTGATTGCTCACATAGGGCCAGTGGCGCAATGGATAACGTGTCTGACTACGGATCAGAAGATTCTAGGGTTAACTCTTGGCTGGCTCGATGTAACCTATGGTGACTCTGTCTTACCATGGCTGGTTCAATGCAAGCCTGACATTGCATTGTATCTACAAACCATTGATGTGGTCTTGACTGGAAGCCGCTTTTGTTTTTGTTCATGGAAATCCTTCATTCTTTCAATTTTTAAAATAATTACTCTTTTGTTTTTGACTGTCTAGAAAAATGCAAATGAAAGCCAAATACAAAGCTGAAAGATTGCATCGTAGCCTAGAGGCATTGGGTCGAGATGTATTTCACTGACTTTTGGAAATAACCAGTAACGTGATCACAAGAAGCCCACCCAGGCACATTGAACAATGCATAATATTTTGTTGTTCTGGGACGTAAAACGTTGCACCAGCAGTTCTATCCTGGCCTCGTTGGCGCAGTAGGTAGCGCGTCAGTCTCATAATCTGAAGGTCGTGATTTCGACCCTCACACGGGGCACTTCTTTTGACACTATGCTGACGTCCAGTGAGGTTATTGTAGCTTGTTATTTGTGGGTGGTAGCCTCTGACAGTTATGACCTATACAAGCTCCCCTTAGTTTTACTTCATGTTGCTTTTAACTTTAAAATTGATCACAAAATCAAATAGCACAAGTCTTTACTCACTACAGAGACCATGGCTCATGATCCAGATAACTGTCAAACATAGTGCTTGTTTCAAATTAAACACATACCAAGTCTTGTGACTTATGGGACATCTTTTTGTGATAAATGGCCAAAGCTTCTCACTCTATGTTCCCATCATTTCCATTTTCAACCAAACTATCATGATTCTGGAGCCTGTGCATTATGGTCTCAATTGATTGCTCACATAGGGCCAGTGGCGCAATGGATAACGCGTCTGACTACGGATCAGAAGATTCTAGGTTCAACTCCTGGCTGGCTCGATGTAACCTATGGTGACTCCGTCTTACCATAGCTGGTTCAATGCAAGCCTGACATTGCATTGTAACTTCAAACCGTTGTTGTGGTCTTGACTGGAAGCCGCTTTTGTTTTTGTTCATGGAAATCCTTCATTCTTTCAATTTTCAAAATAATTACTCTTTTGTTTTTGACTGTCTAGAAAAATGCAAATGAAAGCCAAATACAAAGCTGAAAGATTGCATCGTAGCCTAGAGACATTGGGTCGGGATGTGTTTCACTGACTTTTGGAAATAACCAGTAACGTGATCACAAGAAGCCCACCCAGGCACATTGAACGATGCATAATATTTTGTTGTTCTGGGACGTAAAACGTTGCACCAGCAGGTCTATCCTGGCCTCGTTGGCGCAGTAGGTAGCGCGTCAGTCTCATAATCTGAAGGTCGTGAGTTCGACCCTCACACGGGGCACTTCTTTTGACACTATGCTGACGTCCAGTGAGGTTATTGTAGCTTGTTATTTGTGGGTGGTAGCCTCTGACAGTTATGACCTATACAAGCTCCCCTTAGTTTTACTTCATGTTGCTTTTAACTTTAAAATTGATCACAAAATCAAATAGCACAAGTCTTTACTCACTACAGAGACCATGGCTCATGATCCAGATAACTGTCAAACATAGTGCTTGTTTCAAATTAAACACATACCAAGTCTTGCGACTTATGGGACATCTTTTTGTGATAAATGGCCAAAGCTTCTCACTCTATGTTCCCATCATTTCCATTTTCAGCCAAACTATCATGATTCTGGAGATTGTGCATTATGGTCTCAATTGATTGCTCACATAGGGCCAGTGGCGCAATGGATAACGTGTCTGACTACGGATCAGAAGATTCTAGGGTTAACTCCTGGCTGGCTCGATGTAACCTATGGTGACTCTGTCTTACCATGGCTGGTTCAATGCAAGCCTGACATTGCATTGTATCTTCAAACCATTGTTGTGGTCTTGACTGGAAGCCGCTTTTGTTTTTGTTCATGGAAATGCTTCATTCTTTCAATTTTTAAAATAATTACTCTTTTGTTTTTGACTGTCTAGAAAAATGCAAATGAAAGCCAAATACAAAGCTGAAAGATTGCATCGTAGCCTAGAGGCATTGGGTCGGGATGTGTTTCACTGACTTTTGGAAATAACCAGTAACGTGATCACAAGAAGCCCACCCAGGCACATTGAACAATGCATAATATTTTGTTGTTCTGGGACGTAAAACGTTGCACCAGCAGGTCTATCCTGGCCTCGTTGGCGCAGTAGGTAGCGCGTCAGTCTCATAATCTGAAGGTCGTGAGTTCGACCCTCACACGGGGCACTTCTTTTGACACTATGCTGACGTCCAGTGAGGTTATTGTAGCTTGTTATTTGTGGGTGGTAGCCTCTGACAGTTATGACCTATACAAGCTCCCCTTAGTTTTACTTCATGTTGCTTTTAACTTTAAAATTGATCACAAAATCAAATAGCACAAGTCTTTACTCACTACAGAGACCATGGCTCATGATCCAGATAACTGTCAAACATAGTGCTTGTTTCAAATTAAACACATACCAAGTCTTGCGACTTATGGGACATCTTTTTGTGATAAATGGCCAAAGCTTCTCACTCTATGTTCCCATCATTTCCATTTTCAGCCAAACTATCATGATTCTGGAGATTGTGCATTATGGTCTCAATTGATTGCTCACATAGGGCCAGTGGCGCAATGGATAACGCGTCAGAAAATTCTAGGTTCAACTCCTGGCTGGCTCGATGTAACCTATGGTGACTCCGTCTTACCATAGCTGGTTCAATGCAAGCCTGACATAGCATTGTAACTTCAAACCATTGTTGTGGTCTTGACTGGAAGCCGCTTTTGTTCATGGAAATGCTTCATTCTTTCAATTTTTAAAAGAATTACTCTTTTGTTTTTGACTGTCTAGAAAAATGCAAATGAAAGCCAAATACAAAGCTGAAAGATTGCATCGTAGCCTAGAGACATTGGGTCGGGATGTGTTTCACTGACTTTTGGAAATAACCAGTAACGTGATCACAAGAAGCCCACCCAGGCACATTGAACGATGCATAATATTTTGTTGTTCTGGGACGTAAAACGTTGCACCAGCAGGTCTATCCTGGCCTCGTTGGCGCTCCCCGACTCCTGTGCGACGAACAAAATCTTGGTAGTGTGATCCAATCACGAGGCCTCCTGCTACCAAGATGCTACCAAGAATTAGTAGAGACGGCCAATCACGACGCGCCCTGCTACCAAGATTTGCCTGAGCTACAGGGTCGTTGGCCAACCACAAAGAGCCCGCCTCCAGCTACAATGGACGAATCACAGTGGAGGAGTGCCGGTCAGAGACTCAGGTAAACAGTTGTTTATTACAGTATCATTGTGGGGGATCGTTCTCAGACAGTGGAGAGGGACATCAAACTTTTCGTTTCGCCATCGCCATTTTGATTTTTTATAAACTCAGAGCTAGCTTGTGGTAAGTTTCGTACTTGTCCCGTTGTGAAAAGTTTTAAATTACAACTGTATTAGCTTTCTTACTACCCGGGAAAACGTAACGTTATTTTATTTAATCTTTTTTTCTTTCTTTCTTTCTTCTCCTTAGTCATCGTGCTTAGTATAGCATCTTGCCAACGGACTACAGTTTAAAATGAACCTGCTGGCTAACACTGGCACATTTACAGAATTTTTTATTAATGTGCACGGTCCTTAAATAAATAAATGAAATGAAATAAAATAAAATAAATCGCTATACTTATACCGAGTTTAAGTATAACCTTTTTACTCGTTTTGTTCATGAATGAATGAATGAATGAACTCATTTTTGTCATTATTCATTGTTTGTAGAATATTGAACATTAGTAAAAGTACTTTTCACAGTCGATGCAACTGAAAAGTGTGTGTGTGTGTGTGTGTGTGTGTGTGTGTGTGTGTGTGTGTGTATGTGTGTGTGTTTGTGTGTGTGTGTGTGTGTGTGTGTGCGTGCGCGTGCGTGCGTGTGTGTGTGTGTGTGTGTGTGTGCGTGCGTGCACATGTGTACGGTTGTGAAAGAGTCAAAGATGACAGAGTTTTAGAGACCTGATTTGAGATTTATCTCTGTAAATGCTTGCCTAAAATCATAGCATCCTTTTTTTAATGTGTTTATTTCCATGATTATGGAATTAAAATGTTTCATTGATCTGATTTTAATATTGTCTTTCTTTTTCTCAAGTATGGTGGAAAAATGGACCCTAAATTTAGGAAGAGAGTGGATGGCAGCACTAACTTGGTTGACTCACAAGCTGCAATGGAAGTCAAGAAGGAGAGGAGGCCATGGTTTAGAGCTTCATCCCCAGAAAAGATGATGGAGTCTGCAGAGAAGTCTGTCCTCCGTGTTGGTGGAGACAAAAGCAACCCCATCCATGTTCTCAGCCAGTGTGAACTACAGTTTGGGATTTTCCGTGGACAGACATTCAAGTGGGTTGCCGAAAATGCCCTGGGCTATGCAGGTTATCTGGTTGCATCCATGTCAAGGGAAGACTTTGAGAAGAAGGATTCCAGAAATCATTCAGAAAACAAAAAGGCTTTCCGGAAATACATTGAACATTTTCCTGAAGGTCGCTTTGCCATTCGAGTTAAATCAGCCAGCCTTACAGAATCTTCTGGTACTGCTAGCTTGCTAACAAGTGATCAGCCAGCATCCACATCTTCCACCTCCAGCGCTGCATCTACCAGGACTCTGTCCTCCCACCCTGCATCTCTCAGTACACCATCCACCAGCACCTCAGCCAGCAGCACAGTGTCACAAGGCACATCTTCTGGGAGCGGCCTTTCAAGAGCTCAGAGCTCATCCTTGCTTTCACTGTTGAACAGGAAAACATGTACACCACGGACCTTGCAGACCACAGTGAAGAATCTGATTTCTCCCAAAAAGATTCCTACTAGTAAGTAATCAATGAGCAACATTTTAAGGCACAACACATTATGATATTTTTCATCACACGCTGTTTATAAAAATATTTTTCCAGTTGTTCCAGATGTGACCTGTGCTGTGTCAAGTGATGTGCCCGACGGTGAGATGGTTGCTGCAGCAGAACAGATGGAGTCAGAAATGACACGTAGGTTATACAGTTTTGTGTTAACTTAGAAAGATCTTTTAGATTTATGTGAGATATTGACAGTATTTAATGACATTATGTTTACTTTTTATTTTTGTGACTTGCTTACAGAGAGGAAAGTCTGTCTTCCTGCCAAATGGATTCCAGCGCTGCCTGTGGAAGATCAGCAGTGGATTTCAAAAGCACTCTTCAAGTGGTCCAGGAATGGACAACCAGAGCTCAACCTCCTGAAGCTGGATAAACTGTGGTGGCACCCTCCTGACCCACCACTTGTTCCCCACGGCCTGCCAGCAACAGAGAGGTACTTTGGCCACTCCCTGTTTCTTTGGATGCCCAGAAAACTTTGGCGGGTGAGACTGGTTTGTCCACATCCTGATTGTGGCAAAGAAGAGCTGACCTCTGCAGGACTGCATCAAAGAGTTCGGCAAGTTGTCAGCATGACCACATCATATTTTATTGCTGCAGAGTACCTGGCATGCAAGGGCTGCAAACGGAAAGTCATCAGCTGGAGCAAAGACATTGTGTCTCAGCTAGATGTAGGACATCAGATCCAGTTTCCCTGTCTTCTCACATCCAAACTTGGATGTGACATGGGAGTGGTCCGCCAGATGAGACAGAGGGGCCTTGGAAACAGCAGCAGCCAACTTCAAAAACAGCTGGAGGAGCAGCATGCAGAGACATGGCTTCAGAAGTCCATTCTTTTCATGTCTCACCAGAGAGGCTTTGCCAGAGCTGCATCCACAGGTTTGGTTGAGCCTCTGAATTTCGGAGAACTGCCAACGCTGTTGACTGTTCCGAAACACCGCTGGCTGATGCAAGTCTACGCGCAGGATGTGCTGAGCAGGTTAGACGAAATCAAGGCTTCCATCACGTCAACCTTTGGGCGTGTCCTGAAAATAGACTCCACTAAAAAAATTGTCAGGAAGCTGGCAGGACACAGCCGTGGAACGGCAGCATGGGCCACAAACATGGGGAACGAGCACGGCCAGATCATCATGTCTGTACTCACAGTGAGCGAAGGTCATGGGTTAGGCAAGATGGTTGAGGGAGTCATTAAGCGCTACCACGATGCAGGAGTGTCGCCTCCAGAAGTGCTGTATGTCGACCGGGACTGCTGTGGGTCTTCTCATCTCCACAAAATGATCAGGGCGTGGCAAAACACCAGCATTTGCTTGGACATTTGGCACTTCATGAGGAGGATTGCAGTGGGCTGCACCACCGACTCTCATCCACTTTATGCCGGCTTCATGAACAAACTGAGCCACTGCATTTTCATGTGGGATGACCGTGACCTGCAAGCTCTAAAGGAAGCCAAGCGAGCTGAACTGGAGGCCAAGTTGTTGCACCCCACAGATGCTGATCTGCTGCGAAACATCAGCAGAGCTGAGATGGAACGTCACTGCAAAAGGACAACCAGAAGCAGCTCAGAGATGGAGACCTTGATATCGGAACTGATTGAGGCCTACAGCGGGCACAAGGGAGGCAACTCATTGGGAGTTCCGCTCATCAATTCAGAGAGAATGGCAGAGATATGGAAGGCTCAGAAGAAGCACCTCAGCTGTCTCCAGGACCCACCAGGAGTACTCCTGTACATGGAGACTGGCACCATCAAGAAGGGGGGGCACATTCTGAAAACCTATCGATGTGCAAGAGGCTCCACTTCCCTCGAGTCCTTCCACCTGCACATGAACAGGTTTATTCCTGGTAAGGGAAAAGCACTTTGTCCTCACACACTTATCCATGGGTTTTTCTTCATGTTCACGACCCATTTAAACATATTTATGAATATTTTTCAGGAACACTGGCAAGTGACACCTTTTTTCAGGCGTACCTGTTGGATGGCCTGGCCAGGTGGAACGAAGACCGGAGCATGTCAGCAGAAGGAAGATCAGAGCCTCACTCCTACAGCGGCCTCCTGAGGCATGCTGCAAACCAGCTGTCACAGGAAGTCCTCGGGAAGAGCTGTGTGAATTACACAGGGCCACAGGCGTACACAGGTGTGTTAGCAGAGCTGATGCACCAGTCAGAGGAGACGGAGTTCAGCTTTGACCAAGCTCTGATTAGATTAATATTTCATGCTAGCTAATTAAAAGTCAACAATGTGTTTGTTTGCTGAAATTGTGTCATGACAGTGAGTTAGTTAAAACAAACGTTAATTAAAGTTAAAGCTGATTTTTGATTGCTTTCAGGGGAACTCATTGGGGTCGAGTATCTCTACGACCAAACAGGAGATGTTCTTGAGGACCGCAGAGTGGCAATTGCAGCTTTGGAGACAGAAGACGTAGCTGTGGCAGAAGATGAGGGCTTTGAAGAGTCTGAGGTTTTTGTGGATCTCACAGTTCCCATCTTGGAAACCACGCTCCAGACTCCTCAACCTGCCTGTTCACATGACTTCATGACATCACCTGCATCTGAACCCTTCCTAGAGATACCAGCTGTGGAAGTTAAACATGCTCCTGTGGATGACCTGGAAGAAAGTGAGTGATGTTCATGCCCAAATATCACATAAATGGGAAAGTCAAGATGGTTTCTTTTATTATGTAAAGTGACATAAGTGACTTTAGAACCAGGTTACTGATTAATTTTGTTCTATAAACCTGTGTCTGAAAGTGTGTCTGTGTATGTGTGTTTAATAAAAGGTTTTGATATTTATGTTTAGCTGCATCTCCATCAAGGCTGCCTGATTTCCACTCTGATGACACTATTCCAGGGACATCAAGGAGACAGGTAAGTTAGATATGATTTGGCTACTTTTGCCCATTTTTTTTCTTATAAATACGTAACAAACTTATCATTTAGGACTCCGTTGGCCCCGACAACACCGAAGCTTTCACAGCTGTGCAGGATTTGGCTGAAGCACTCTTCAGTCTGAGAGAGCACAGCCTGGCTCTCACCCTTGAAGAGTCCAATAACATTGTTGCTCTTTGGAAGAGATTGTCAGAGCACGACAAGGAGCGCACCGTTTTTTCTCCACGCCACCAAACAACCCTGAACAAAGGCCGTTTTAGAGCAACAAAAAAAATTGTTGCACCAGGCGTGGAGTCGACAAAGCGGTATGTTGGTCACAGCTGTTCAGCCACTGATGCATATTCTTCTACAGATCTTGCCTGAGTCCATTTTTCTTGCCTTTGTCCTCCTAGGTGCTATTCTGGAGCACGCATTCCTGGACAGTGGCCAGATTGCAACCGGATTGTTGAGGCCATTTTTGTCCAGCTCTGCATGGCTTACCCAAACCAAAAGAGAGTGGAAGGTGTGGCATTTTCAAGGTGGACCCTCATAATTCGTGCTTACAAGCACATTTAGAGAGTGCATCCTGAACAACATCACCATCATGGAGGAGACGACCATACAGTTGCCAGAAGTCAACAAAACAACCCTCACACAGTGGTGAGTTAAGACTGTGTCATGATGGATAATGATGGACTCAAATTAGCTGACCCAGAGACAAACAGAATAACTTAAAGAAGTTTTATTCACAAGCGAGATACACAAATAGTTCTCCCCAGGAGGATCAGTGGGGTAATGATAATTCACTTGGAGTGCTCACTCCGCTGGAGGTACGGTCTGCTCAGGGGGGTGTGAGAGAGAAGGGTGAAGATTAGATGGATCCACAAATTATTTGTAATCTTTAAAGGGGTCAAAGGATGGCTTACAGTGTCCTTGTGTAACCCGGCAGTGGTGGCAGGAATCACCATCGGATTGGAAGAGGGGTTTCCAGCTGAGATGGGTAGGTAATGCAGTCTTATGCTGCATCAGCGTTACTCTGGAAGCATGAGTGAACAGAAAGTTAGTTGACTGCAGAGTACTTACCTGAGGGTTTTCTGATTTTACCGTAATGACTAACCAACTGGCCTCTCAGATAAGTAGATGAGACTCAGCTACAGAGACTGGGACTGGTGTCAGGGGCTCCTCTGCTGGAGAGAAGATGAAGAAGATGAGAATCAGTAGAGAGAGAAGCAAGCCAACAACTTCATGACTGCTGGGATATGACAAACTATTAACTTCAGTGATAAAATCTGAGTGACTTTAAAAACAGGACAGAATATTAGTTGGTTTGTATTTCACAAACATCACAGAATCTGTAATATCGATAAGAACATTATTCCTTGAAATTAAAATCAGCTATTCTATTTATTTCATATGCAGGTATTGCAGACGCACCCGGACACAGGAGAAAGACATTCTTGAACAGGGCATTCTGGCACCAAAGCCAGCCATTTCCGGTGATACCAGTCAGCAGTCAGCACCACAGCACAAAGCCATTCAACCTGCTCCATCACACAAACCTTACACCTTCGTCCTTCATCCCGACACGGCTGGAACGGCAAAACTGAAAATCAAAAAGTCAGATAGAGCACAGTGCCCACCTCAGCCTCAGCCACAGAACACAGGACAGTTGTCTGTGGAAATTTTTCCACCAGCAACCTCATCTGGTCCCACCTATTCTGTCCCTTCTTTTATTCCGATCCAGCCACTTCCTCAACCCATCCTGCCACAGTTTATCTGTGCTCCGACTCCCTCTGTGCCAGTGTACCCTGTTGTGGCTGGGCCATCAGCACCTAAAAGCCAGACACCACATGTACCCTACACCACACAGCAGTACAGGAAGAGGAAGGAAAAAGAGGAGCAGGCTGGACTACAGACACGAAAATATGTAAAAAAAACAGACACAATAGTTTGCAAGAAGTGCCAAAAAGAAAGAAAGCCATCCTGCCATAAACAGTATTTTGGGAACTGGTACTGTGAAGAGACTGCAAACCAGTCTTTTGAAGACTGGAGAGCTGAAATGGCTGCACGTGGCTATGGTAAAAAAAAATCTTAAATGTAAATAGCTTCATTTTTTCTGTTTTTGATGTTTGTGTGTTTACTGTTTGTTTTTTAGCCTGTTTGTAAAATAAACAAGTGTGAGTTTTTGTATTTTCTTGTTTTTCTTTAATTAGACTAATCAAAATATGTCCTGTTGGTGTCAAATAGTAAAGGTTCTGGTGAACACAGTACCAGTAAGTTCATATCCTGACAGGGGCAGAAAAAAGGTTTATCTTTGAATTTTATTAAGAAAACTACAGATTGCAGCACAGAAAGGTTTCTCCTCTCTCTGCTGTGATTTCATTTGCAGATGTAGGAGGACATTGAAACAAAATGAAAGGGCCTGTGTACACTGTTGTGATTTTGAGTTAGAATTAATTGAATTATGGTAGATTGTATTTTATTTTGGTTCAGCCAAGGTGAGTAGATAGATCTGAAAAGGTGGAAATTAATAAACACCTGGAATGAGTATGTTTTCATTGCCATAGAGGGTTTTGAAACTAATTAGAATCAGGGGTTCAGGAAACTTGACATCTTTATTTCAGTGGCATGTAAATAGACTTATATTAAAGCTCATTCATTTATTTTATCAGTTTTTATGCGTTTACTTTTGCTTGAAATTTATTTATAAAAACACCTACATAGTTCACGGAGCATTGTTAATTAAGGTGTCAAGAATGCTCCGAGCGGGACTCGAACCCGCTGCCTCGCACTCAACAGCACACCAAAAATAACTACTACCAAAATCGATTGTGAGAGTTATGCGCGCAAGCCTTGGTGCAATGGATAACTCGTCTGACTACAGATCAGAAGATTCTAGGTTCAACTCCTGGCTGGCTTGATGTAACCTATGGTGACTCCGTCGTACCATAGCTGGTTCAATGCAAGCCTGACTTTGCATTGTAACTTCAAACAAATGTTGTGGTCTTGACTGGAAGCTGCTTTTGTTTTTGTTCATGGAAATGCTTCATTCTTTCAATTTTTAAAAGAATTACTCTTTTGTTTTTGGCTGTCTAGAAAAATGCAAATGAAAGCCAAATACAAAGCTGAAAGATTGCATCGTAGCCTAGAGACATTGGGTCGGGATGTGTTTCACTGACTTTTGGAAATAACCAGTAACGTGATCACAAGAAGCCCACCCAGGCACACTGAACGATGCATAATATTTTGTTGTTCTGGGACGTAAAACGTTGCACCGGCAGGTCTATCCTGGCCTCGTTGGCGCAGTAGGTAGCGCGTCAGTCTCATAATCTGAAGGTCGTGAGTTCGACCCTCACACGGGGCACTTCTTTTGACACTATGCTGATGTCCAGTGAGGTTATTGTAGCTTATTTGTGGGTGGTAGCCTCTGACAGTTATGACCTATACAAGCCCCCCTTATTTTTACTTCATGTTGCATTTAACTTTAAAATTGATCACAAAATCAAATAGCACAAGTCTTTACTCACTACAGAGACCATGGCTTATGATCCAGATAACTGTCAAACATAGGCTGTGTCTCAATTCAGGGTCTGCATCTTTCGAAGGACCCAGCCTACTCGGCCGACGTGGGCTGGATCCTCCGTCGGCCGGGTAGACCGGATGTTAACAGCTGTGAATTTGGACAGGCCTAGCCTTCATGAATTCCCGCCTCTCCCTCGGCGAACGTTCCGTTGCCTAGCAACCGTGGAACCGCTGAGCAGAAGGGAGAAGGAACTTTAAATGATGGAGCTCGAAGTTTTATTTAGATCTTTAATCATTTCCTTGACTGTTGGAGAGCTAATTCGGAGAAAATACTTTCGACAAGCTGAGCCTGAGCAAAGATGTGATAATAGTTTTTAATACTTTCTAAGGGTCTTTATTTGACCAAAACCGATTTATTACCTTTTAAGACTTTTCAGACCCAGCGGGATACCCTCTAGTAAACAATTTTCATTTGTAAACCAAAATAAAATTCAAGAGTTTAATGCAGAACTGATTTTATTTAGATATTTCTTTTATATGTACATGTTTAATCTTTATTAACCATTTCTTTCTAGCAAAGTAAAAAGCTGTCAAAGGTCTCCCTTCTCTCCTGTGCCCTCTGCTGCTCTGCCTCCCTCTGCAGCCTCATGTCCTCCCTGATCAGCTCCAGAAGCTAGTCATCGCTGTCACCTTCCCCTGGATGCCCATTTTCTCCGGAATACAAACATGTAAGAAAAGAAACAGAGAAAAGAGGACAACGGGTTATTCCTTTCATGTTTTCGCAGAAAAAAAAACTCAAACGAGTTTTTAAAACATGAGATGTTATTGTACCTCCATGCCACAGCCGCCGAATACTTTGCTCCAGTGATCATGTGGTCCATCTCCGCCCTAAGCTTAATAAATTCCCTGGTTTTCTCTTGTACCTAAAATACAAACTTCTATTAAAATCAGGGGGAAAACGTAGCGGGAGAAGTGCGACACCGAGCGGCCGAACATACGAGCCGAGACCGCAATACAAGCACTTTTACTGTAACATTTCTAACTAAAATAACGTTCATGTATCACCAAAAGTCCTTAACCTAACAGTTTTCAAGTTTATACTGACATTTATATGCGCAATCCTCTCCGCCAGCTCCCGCTTCACTGTCTGCCGTTTTTCTGCCGGCCGGCCCGCAAGGCATCTTGGGAAATGCTACCCATTGAAGGATACACCGGACCCATCCATTCAGGCGAAAAGAAGGCCGCATTCGTCGACCGCATTTGAAGGAGTCTTCGAATTTGGACAGGCCTAGTTGCGGCGCTGTGACGTAACCGGCCGACGAATCCGGCCGACGTAGGATGCAGACCCTGAATTGAGACACAGCCATAGTGCTTGTTTCAAATTAAACACATACCAGGTCTTGTGACTTATGGGACATCTTTTTGTGATAAATGGCCAAAGCTTCTCACTCTATGTTCCCATCATTTCCATTTTCAACCAAACTATCATGATTCTGGAGACTGTGCATTATGGTCTCAATTAATTGCACACATAAGGCCAGTGGCGTAATGGATAACGCGTCTGACTACGGATCAGAAGATTCTAGGTTCATCTCCTGGCTGGCTCGATGTAACCTATGGTGACTCCGTCTTACTGGTTCAATGCAAGCCTGACATTGCATTTTAACTTCAAACCATTGTTGTGGTCTTGACTGGAAGCCACCTTTGTTTTTGTTCATTGAAATGCTTCATTCTTTCAATTTTGAAAAGAATTACTCTTTTGTTTTTGACTGTCTAGAAAAAAGCAAATGAAAGCTGTTGGGTAATTTCTATATTTCTCCCAAATTACCTCAGAAAAGTCAGAGCATAAACAGAGGGATTCGATCTTTGGAAATTGTAATCATCAAACTACAATCAATAAACGAACTTTGCAAAGGGTGAAAAACATACACACCAGAGCCAGAGGCTTTT